GGAGACCCCTTCCCTTACCCTCACGGCTCTTCTTGGTTTCCTAACACCCCAGCACCGCGCCTGCTGCCGGCCGAGCCTTCCCACCCTTGGGCCCGGGCACCCCTGGTCCCCTTAGATTCTAGGTCACCCCTGCAGGGAGCTGGGCTGGTTCCAACCACCCAATATTTCCTCCCTCCATTCTCCCCAGGTGCTCTTTTATTTTTATTGACAGATAACCATAGATACTTACAGGATACAGTTCTGTCCGTTGTAGAAAGATGAAGTCAGGCCGAATCACACTCTCATCCCGACTCTGCTTCTCATTTTTTATGTGGTAGAACATTTCGAATCCATTTTTTTTTTTTTTTTGAGTCAGAGTGTCACTCCTTCACCCAGGCTGGGGTGCAGTGGCACGCTCCCGGCCACCGCAGCCTCGATCTGCTGGGCTCCGGCAATCTTTCCACCTCAGCCTTCCAAGTATCTGGAACTACAGGTGCGTGCCACCATGCCTGGGTAATTTTTCTTGATTTATTGTAGAGACGAGGTCTTACCACGTTGCCCAAGCTGGTCTCGAGCCCCTGGGTTCAGGCAATCTCCTTGCCTCGGCCTCTCAGAGTGCTGGGAGTACAGGCTTGAGCCATTGTGCCCGGCCTGAATCTACTTTTTAAGTTACTTTATTTGTCTGAGTTGAAATCTCACCCTGTCGCCCAGGCTGGAGGGCAGTAGCATGATCATGGCTCACTGCAGCCTCAAATTCCTGGGCTCAGGTAATCCTCTCACCTCAGCCTCGTGAGTCGCTGAGACTACAGGTGCACGCCACCATGCCCAGATATTTTTTTGTAGAGATCTTGCTATGTTGCCCAGGCTGCTCTTGAACTCCTTGGCTCAGGCAATACTCCTGCCTTGGCTTTCCAAAGTGCTGGGATTATAGGCATGAGCCACTGTACCTGGCCCTTTTCAGGTCTTATAACCCATTTTGAGTTGATTTTTGTATATGGTGTGAGCCCCCAGTTGTTCTTTGAGGGTCACTGCTTGTCTACTCTCAATGTATGTACATCCAGCAGGTCACGTGTCAGGCTCGGGTCAGTGAAATTCTGGGTCAAGTCCAGAAAGAGCAGCTGTTTTCTGTGAGTGGGATGTGGGTGCCATCTCCCCACCTCTCACGCCTCTGGACTACAGGCAACCCCTGGGAGCGAGGCCAGCACGGCGGAAAGCACACCAAGAAATGGAGGAGCCCTGAACCCCTGAATCCAGCCATGCCTGAAGCCAGTAATCTCTGGAGTTTGTGGTCACGGCCCTTCTTCAGGCAAAGTCAGCTAGGGGGTGGAGTCTGGCTGATACTGTTCAAGAAGTGTTCCTGTCCCGCCCGCTCCGTCAACTCTTACAGACCCTGGCCTGTATAATGGGTGAATAATTCCGCCATCATCTGTGATGAATGAATGAACGTTCACACTGTTACGTGTGTGACCTGGTCTAAGGTTCCCCCAGGCTGAGCACCCACTTCTGGAGGACAGGGGAGCACCTGGCTGGCCCACAGCTGTGACCCCCACAACGGCAGCCGGCACACAGCAGGGGCCCAGCATGTTGGAGCTCTGCAGTGACTCCCAGGGGGGCGGGTCACCTTGCTCCTTTCTGACTCCTGGAGCTCAGCACTGGGTCTGCCAGACACAGCAGAGAGAATGGGAGGTGCAGGCTGAGGCACGGACGACACTGTGGCCAAGCGTTTGGGCTCAGTCCAGGTGCAGTGGCTCACGCCTATAATCCCAGCTCTTTGGGAGGCCAAGGTGGGAGGACTGCTTGAGTCCAGAAGTTCGAGACTAGTCTGGGCAACATAGAAAGATCTCATCTCTACAAAAAAATCAAAAAGTTAGCCAGTGTGAGGCTGAGGAGGAAGGATCATCTGAGCCCAGGAAGTTGAAACTGGTGAGTCTGATTGGGTCCCTGCACTCCAGCCTGGGCGGAGTTTGGGCTCTGGCATCAGAGAGGCCCGGTTCAGATCTCAGCCTGCGGTGACTCTGGGCATGATGTCACTCCTCCTTGAACCCTGGTCTCACCAGCCAGGGACAGCGCTGGCCCCACACGTGGCTGTTGTGAGGGCGAATTGAGTCAACGCCAAGCACCTGTTACACAGGAAGTGTCCTCTGCTCTGGAGAACACTGTGGCTGGAGGGGTCCAGCCCCGGCCAGGCCCTCAGTACAGCAGATGCGGGAGTCCCGAATTGTCACAGTCTCTTTATTCAATCCCAGGGCGGAGCTGGCCGGGCAGGGGGAAGGCCGGGGCTGCCTGGGGCCAGACCCTCAGCCCCTGTGCAGCTTGGGGATGACCAGGCGGGGCTGGTAGGTGTCAGGTGCCAGCAGCATCAGGGTGAACTCAGTGATGGCAGCCGTGAGCCCCCAGACCCGGTGTGGCCCATGCAGGAAGACGGGGAGTGTATAGCGGTAGCGGCCACCCTGGCAGAAGTGGGTATAACCCTGATTCTGCGTCTGTAACAGGTGGGCCAGCGGCAGCACAAACACCTCGTCCACCTGCGGGCAGGAGGCAGAGAGGGTGACAGAGGACGGGCCTCGGCAGCCTCTCCCCCTGGGACAGCCCGGGGCCCCACCCCCGACTCACCTCCTCAGGGTTGGGCCTCAGGCTCTGGGGATCCAGGGGGCCCACGCCAGCAAGCACAGGCACCACGGAGGCCTTTTGCTGGGGAGGGGGCAGGCGGTCAGGGGAGGCATGCCTCCAGGGGACTTGGGGGCTGGGAGGGGAGTCCGAGAGGAAACCCGGCCTTCCACCCACAGACCTTGGGATTCTCAGCCACATCCATCCACCCCATCCTTGATGCTGACTGACTCAAGCCCCCCCCCCAAGTGCTCGCCCCCTTCATGCCTCTGGGCCTTTCCTTGCTTAGAACACCCTCCCCAGCCAGGCTCGGTGGCTCAGCCTGTCATCCCGCGCTTTGGGAGGCTGAGGTGAGTGGATGGCCTGAGCCCACGGGTTCGAGACCCG